ATTTTTAAAAAATAATTTTTTTAATAAATATATTATAAAATTTTTGAGATCAAAATATGTATTAATTGTTATCTTTATTTTTTAACAAGTAAATTAAATAAAATTAATATTTTAAACCAATTTTATTGGAACAAAAGAATTGGTTGTCCAAAAAGAAAAGAGACAACATAAAAATAAAAATAAAGTGGATTCTTTTAAGGTTTGGATTTTATTGGTGTTTGGTTGCCAATATCCTTGGGGAAACATTTGTACGGAAGTCGAACAAAAAATAATAATAACCAGCTTCCCTAGAATTTTAAATCCGTAAATAATTTATTCAATAGGATTACAGTTGGTTACATAAGGATGTAGTGTTGAAATGTTGTTTCCTGCTCAAAAACCTTAGAAAAAGAAAATTCAGCTATATAATCAGTTGAGCTAATTTATAATAAACCATGTGCTCGTTTGGTGTTGCTGAAATTTTTAATAAAAATTTTGTTAAAAAAAATTGTTGTAGAAATATTATTTTTGTAAATAAAAAAATAAAAAAAAATAAAAATAATGTGTTAATTTTATTAAAATATAAATGAAAAATTAATGTAAAAGCATCAATTCGATGCTGCTAAAATCTATAATGAAATAGATAAAAAACTAATTTATGAAAAATTATAATATTTTTTATAAATTATAATGTTTGGTACAGCTGAAGTTTTTAGAGAGCAAAAAAATTTGTACCAAACATAGCCTATATTAATTATAACCATTTATATCCACTATATTACGTATATAGTTAATTATAATTAGGTTTTGACTTTTGTGGCCCAAACATTCATTTGTAGACCAGGCCGTCTAATTTTTTTTTTTTCTAGGCTTCCCTGCAAATGTTTTCCCATGATATTGGCAACCAAACCTCGCCTGAGGGTTCAGTTTCCGGCCCAAACAGGTAGATATCGAAGAATGGGTTTGATGCAGTTTGATTTTCGTTTGGGCTGGGCTTACAAAAAAGCCTTAGTTGACGTACTTCAAAAAGTCGACGCATCTGTGCCCCACCAATGGGCATGAGCCATACACAACCCGGTTCAACCGCCGGATCACGATTCGTGTACGGATGAACCAATTTAGAGCATGTACAATGGTGGTGCTTTATTTGCTTGTTCTTGTCTCAAAATAAAATAGAGAGTTTTGCCTCATTTGAGAAGAGTTCTGAAATAAGAAATATTCTCTGGCTATATAACATGTTAGGTTTTTTTTTTTTAATCCAAAAAATGTTCAATCTTGATCCAGTTGCCTAAGCTGTTGAATTAAAGGCTTCTTTTTTCTTTTTTTCTTTTTTAGTTTTTAATTCAAGATTTTGTTATTTAAATTTATAAATTGCAGTTTGAATAAGATGATAAAGGTCTGATTTTTAAGAAAGTTTGATGAACTTGAGGAGATGCATTCCGTTAAGTATTCTATTTGAGTTTTAAATATATTCTCCCTATTTATTTAAATAAGTTCTTGTTGATTGCTTTTATTTGACTTTAAAATATTTTTAATTATCATTTATATAATATGTTAAATTTTTATCTAAAATTTATATTTAAAAAATTAAAAAACAGATTAAGTTTATTAAAAATAAATGG